CTACACCATACGCTGCCCTACAGGTACAAAACTATGAGAAATCCAAATATTTAACTTTGTGTTGGCTAAGGCCTATTTCTGATTTGGATGCGGCAAGACACCTCCGGAGAGAACCAGAAGTCACCCCTGCGTGACACAGACAGCTTTGTGTCCTCCCCTCCCACTGCCCCCTCAGTCAAGTCCAACTACCCCGCACAGGAAAAACCAGCCACTGCTTCCCAAGCGATCAAGTTAAGCTACACCGATAATTTGAATAAGGCAAAATACCACATTCAATGTAAATGCAGAAGAGTGACAACCTAATCAACCATCCCAATTCAGCTGTTGCTGTTAGTATTACGGACAGCCTTAAGCCTGAGAACACCTTAAAGAACGATCACATACACACACCTCGCATGTGCCAAAGTTTATTTTTTTTTTTCCAAAACTTGTTTCATCAAATAATTGGATATGAGCAGTTTTTAAAAAACAAACAGTTTGTGTATTAACAAATTGTGAAGTTCCACAATTAAAATATCAACACAGCCAGTCTTGTGCTTAGGCTTCTTTTTAAAAAATTAATTCATAGAACATAAACCTTCAAAATTTTTTTCCAGTTGTGGCTAGTATATTTTCCACACATTCTGTATTCTTATAAAATGAAGGAACTCATGTAAAGGAACAGCTGTACAAGAATACATCTGAAAAAAAGCCTGAACAACCTAAATTATAGTAGCTCCTTTTAAATAAATATCCAATAAAAGGCACAAACCTGTTATGGGGAAAAACATAACATACAAAACAAGACCTATTAAATAAATAATGTGAAGTGTGGGTTGGGGTGAGGGAAATCTGTTCCAGCACCTATTTTGTCATTGCTCCAAGACGAAATTCCAGCCAAACATTTGGTAAAGGATTGAACTTAATCACAAGGATACACGTTTGAGAGATACCGAAAGATTTGATGTTACAATTCCTGTTGTAACTGCACCAGTTACTACAATCTCTTTAAATAAATGATCATGAGAATCTGTGTAAAGTAGTGATGCAGTGATGTATGTATCAATGACGTTTCAAATACATCTTCAGAGTAATAGCAACAGGTTTTCTATATTCCTAGCTACCAGTAATGTATAAATGATAACATGTACAGTTTCCATTGCTCAAAAATATAATCTTTTAAATGGAAATAAATGACCGATACACAGTGCCTTTAGATGTTGTCCTTACAATACAAACTACCCAAAACAAAGTTTTCCTTTTTATGTACAAGTTAAGCACCGATCCACAGTGCATACTATTCTAACTGTAACCCCACCCTCCCTGCCACACATCAAAAAACCCAGATGGGGATACACCCTGTATTCAATCTTGCAGTCAGAAGCTTTTTTGTTGTTGGGGTTTTTTGTGTGTGTGTGTGTTGTGGTTGGTTTTTTTTTTTAACAAAAGTCCATTTGTTATTTTTACCTACAAGCATTCCACCACTATGTGCACAGAACTGAGATTTCTCTGTGACGTGTGCCCAAAATTTAAAAAAAATTCAATTCAATAGCTTCTTGGAGGCAAAGTCAAACTGTATCTAGAGAACCTTAGAAAACCCCAGTTATTTAAAAAGAGGTACACTTTCAAGTCCAACAGGCCTAACACAATCAGCCTTTCCAAATTCCTCCAGAAGTTATCTTATGGTATATCCCATAAAAGACAGCCTCTCTGTAGCAGCATGAAGTCCCAACAGTTAGGCTTGAACGACCCACTGAAGTACAATAACGCAAAGCGCACAGCATACTTGAGGTCTTCCTCCTTGTTCAGACCAACATCTTAGTTATCTGCTTTCTGAAATATTCAGAACAGGATTCTGATCAAACGAGTTGGGAGGAAACAAAAGGGAAAGTCACATTTACATACACACCTCTCTTCAGTGTTTTTACTCATCACGACGACTATTTGCAACTCTTGTGGGCTGTTACGGTTACCCTCAAGAACAACCTTTGTCCTCAAAGTGTTTTTTGGAGAAAAAGTTCTGAGCCATAAAAGCCTTGACAGCATCCCAAGTCCTTGTTTTTTACCTCTAATGTATGAACTGTGTTATTTAAAACACAGTACCTCTGCCGTTTTATGCGTTCCAATATGTGCACGAGGAAGAGGTTGGCAAAAAGCAGTCCTGTGCACTTTTGTGCAGAGAGAAGCGTGTAAAGCAATCTTTTCTTCATAAGGATAAATCTGAAAGCCGTGTTTTAAAGTATCAAACGTTCTGAATGAGACTAAAAAGAAGGTAGCTTATAAAGTTTTTAGGATGTACTTTGTGGCTGTTTCTCCTTTTTTAATACTAAATAAACTGGTATCAGACAGCTTTGCTACAAGAAAGCCTACCAAAGAACCATTAAAAAAATCCAGAGCAAATCAGAAGTAGTGCAAACTATACCTAGTACTAAATCCATTTCTGAGCAAAGTACATTCCAGATATTCAGAATGCTCTGCAATAAAGTTATAACAAATATATACTGTTTACCAGGCATTTATTTGCATATGTTATTAAAATAACTGATTATTACTTATACAACTCGGCATGAGAAAGAGACCTAACAGCTTACAGTGCTAGAAACTGCCTGCTTGTAGAGCTCTCAGCTCTGTCATTAATGCCCAGACACTTACTACTACATGTACTGGTCTAATTTGAACTCAAGACATTTCAATGCTGAATAAGTCAACAGAATTCACCATTTCTTAAATAAACAGTCCCCTCAACACAATGACCCATTCTAAATGGCATCTATTCCCTCATCACATGGAGGGTACCTATAGGCACTGAAGAACTCATTGGCTTAAAATTGTACAATTGTTCAGCCTAATAAAGGTGGATTAAAGCTTGAAGCCCTTTGTAATTCAAACTTGAACATTACATTGCTATAGACCAGTCCAAATTCTTTTAAAAAGATCAATACACGTTCAGAAACTCCGAGTTTTAAATTTCTGCAAGGTTACATTTCCCAGGAAGTTAGTGGTTACAGATTCCAAGGGTTGGGGGTGGGGTTTTTTTTTTATTTTGTTTCTCTTGAGGTTTTTCACTTGGCAAAAATATTTCCATAGGGTTAATAAATACTGCTTTTGCACTCTTTGGACAGAATAAAGCATTTAAAAAAAAAAGAGAGAAGGCTTGTTCCCACTATGAGGAAGGTGCTGTATTTTAGAAGTTCTCTGCAGGACAGTTTGACAAGATTCTCAGGCCTATTTGCATTTATAGTGAGAGTCAGAGACATTTCTGCACTTATAGACTCCCCAAAAGATAAAAGACACGCTACTCTGGAGGTCTGTTTATCATAACAATAGAAAACTAGTCATTTTTTGAAAACCCAGCTTTAATATTAATCATTAGTAGAAGTCATTTTACAGGAGATCGTTTCATTGTATTCTGCCACAAAGCTTCTGGAAGAAAGGTTGCTCCCAATTCCATTTACTTGTTGTTAACTACTTTTTCTTTTAATGCTATCACTTTTTATCAGACATTGAAAAATACAAGATAAGGCATTTTCATAGCCAATTTCAGTTTTGGAGGAGGATTGTTAAATACAAAAGATGTGCCAGAAGTCTGTACACATCTGACCCATCATGAATAGCATACTTCATAAATTAGTTGATTTAAAAGATTTTCCTCTCAAAAAGAGTCCGGATTTCTTAACATAGCGTTTTTACCTCGAAATTACTACAGAAGAAAAAGATTACTGCAGCATTAAAGAAAAGATTATCTAAAAGTCTGCACATATTTACACATTTAAAAATAATTACTTTTATGTGGTTTACAACTAGGTTCTTATTTCAGAAAAGCAGCACAAGCTATTCTCTACAGCTGGATAATTTCAATATAGTTACCAGTTCACAAGTGTGCACTATTGCAAGGTTTGCTTCTTTTGACCTAACAGACTTAAAAATTGATCTCTTGCCTCTTTTGCAGTTAGCAACAAGATTTTCAAATTGCTCCCATTTGCTGCTATTGGGGATACCTACGTTCACTGGCTCCCAAAGCTCTTCTTCCTTGAGCTATGAAAAATGCTATCTGCAGAGAAGATACTCAGTGGAAGGGCAGCTACTGTCACCTGTTGGAGGCTGCACACGCTGTTCCGTAACACACTTGTTTCCCCTGCTCCATCACAGACTTTCAGCCCATATCAGAGCCTGGCTCTTTCAACTAGCCATGTAACACTGACATACCAATGGAGCAATTTATTATTTTTAATATATATATATATGTAATATGTATATATATCTTGTTGATTCACAGCATTTCAAACTCACATTATAAAGTTTGCAAATTACTATAAGCTATTCTAATGTGAAAAAGCTGTCTGATTTCACACAATATTGGCCTTATGATAATGCAAGCATTGCTCTATCAGAGTATTTATTAGAGCACATAAAAATTTTATTGCTCAACTTCATTTGTGTTGTGTCTTGGTTACAACAGCCACAGAATTTATGGAGGAAATAAATAGCTTTGACAGCCTCAGTTAACTTCCTAAGGTAATCCACTGATGAATAAGGTTGTAGAGCAATCGTGTAACCCCTCTTCTCAGCTTTGAAGATGATAATCCAGCTTGCACCTTCTGAGTCAGCCTCAATAAAACACAGTTTTCTGCTAAGCAGTTTAAAAATCAGTGAACAAACATGACTTCACACTGCAGTGACTGTTATAAACAAGAATCTCTAAAGCATTGCAATTCAAAATAATATTGTATTATACAGGGAAGAAACAGTTGCCCTGTTCAGGTATACATCAAGGAAAGATTGAAATTCAGTCTTTTCTTTTTTTACCAGTATTTGGTTGTTCTCACATCTTGCTGCTTTGGTGGCTCTACATAAACTGTATCTGTGAAGTAGAGATTACATGTTAATGCCACTTACATAACACATCGTTTCTCAATGTTTTAGAATTATGAATCTATTCAACTGCCTTGTTACCTGCAAGTTAAGACTATAGGTTTTGGCACTTGAAAGCATCCCCAAAAAACATTAAGACCAACGTATTTGGATGACAGGAGTACACAGTTTCTTCATCTTGAATGATCTCTTGTCCATGCCTTTTTCACTTCCTCACCACCTGATCCTTCAGAAAGCTTTCACCACCGCTCTAGTCAGTATGACAAAACCAAGTATCCAGCTAATGTCATAGGAAGTCTGAATTCTACATATTTTCACCATTCCCATTTTCTTAATATTGACACAGTAAGAAGTTAGCCACTAAATCTCCAATTTTTACTTTTTTCCTTGCTTCCTACATTTGCACAGTCTTACCATCTGAATTTGCTTCCTCACCAGCAAAAGCTGTTACCCTTGACTGAGGAACCCCTCACTTTCAAATGCAGAAATACACGAGTAGCCCTTCGTGGAACATTTGGTTGCTTTTACCAAGACTAAAGTTTCAATGTGATCTCAAGATTAAAGAAAACAGTTCACCTGAGTTTCAGAAACAGGTGCAAAAGGATTTGTTGGCCTTAGACCAGGCTGCGTATACATCATTGACTGGGGTGCCATCAAAGGAGCAGCTCCAATCTGAGGAGGTACCTGTTAGAGAAACAAAACCCCCAGAAAACAGGTATATAAACTAATTCTAGAAGATACATCTTTTCACATTGTAAATATGGTAGAAAATAAGCACACAGATACACACATGCAGTAAAGTCAAAGCTTTTAAAAAACTTTGGGTATAAAATTTAGAGTAATCTCTTCCAATGCACAGTGCAAAAAAGCCATCAGTTTTCACACGCTTATAAAACAACATATACAAGTTGCAGGATGATTTGAACATCGTAATGCCTGCCATGAAACCCACTGGAGGAGACAACGAGGTTTTTCAGGAATACAAGACAATCACATCTCTTACCATTCCATATACAGGCACTTGAGGTGTGGTCAATGGGTACGTAATAGGAGCAGGTACCTTCAATCAAGAAAATTTTAATGTATTTTAGATAAGCTCATGCATACTAGTAATATATACAAAACTGTGAAAAATACGTATTTTTCAATACTTAAAATAACCAACATATTTACAAGAAATTGACTTACATATCCAGGATAGTGCACTCCGTTCTGGCACAGCAAAAGGAGTAAGGACAGAAAATTATTTAAGAGGTATTCAAACTGGAAATTCTAACCAAGGGATGGATTCAAGTCCAGTACTGTAACTGTAACTACGCTCAACTCAATTATTAAAACAATTAAAGCGGGAGGAAAAGTGCAAGGACAGTAACATCAGTAACTATGCCTGTTAACTTGGATAGGCTCCCTGCCTAGAAAGCTATCACTAGTGAGACTTCCAGAAAAATAGAAATTTTACTAAAACTAGCCAGATTTGAGTATATTGCTTGCACAGACATTTGTATAAGAAGCCTTTAGAGGGCATGGCATGCAATATTCCTTCTTCCTCCCACTATGTGCGAGAAGGGCGTAGAAAAAAAACAAGGAAGCCAGTGACCATTCAGCTTACAAAACAGCAACAGATGTTTAGTCGGGTAAACGTTGCTCACATGCTAATTTCTGATGTCTGCAACATGTCACAGTATGAAAAAGGAAAAACACGAGGAGCATCTTAAGCTGGCAATAACTTATATCAGGTTATGTTCACAGTGATGCATGCGCTTCATATTGCCATGCGTTGTTAAGTAGTGCTAATTATATTAAAAATGGAGTGCTAGTTAAAATACTTCCCTGTGAAAGAGTATGCAGACTCCAGTATACACGAACTGGAGAGCTAGTACTCTGAACGCCACAGACCAAGCCAGGACAGTTAAGACCTTTCCAATACTGGGGCACTGATTTTAACGATGCTCATACCCGGGCTAGTTCTTTGCATCGTTAATTGTTGGAATCCCAAGCAAATGAGTGAGCACATACCTGGCATAAAGCACGCAAATGCTTAGACCAGAAGGTATTAAGCATGAACACATGAAATAAAAACACACAACCCAAATCCACAGTGATCAATGTGTGCTAAGGTGCCCTCTACCTTTCAAAAATAAGAATGCATCAGCACTCTAACATAACGTTCTAGAGCACAAAGAGGGGATAAAAAGATTTTATGGTCTCAGAAGTCTCATATAAAAGTGCTATGCAACTGACACATACTCTCATCTGAATTTGAGTTTCATTTTTGATTCCAATTCTGGATTTAATATTCAACTTTGATAATTTTGAATGAGCATACTCACATAAGATGAGGAAAATAGGCATTACAGGCAAAGCTACTCTTATTGGACAATAAAGTCAGACAGCAGTCCAAAAGTCATAACAAATACGGCAATTACCGTAGTTGTACATATAACCAAGGTGAACATTCTACTTCCCTCCAAGGCAGCTGGTATTTCAGAAGTGGTTTGTATTTGTATGAATATATATGAATAAGATACTTGAAAAATCTCTTTTAAAAGCATAGGAAGTCAGTTGCCTACATATATCCCTCCAAGAAATTAAAATTCTTCATTTAAATAACTATAAAACTTCCACTTAGTATTTTGTACTGTGTTTAAAATACAAAGTTGCTGTTGAGCATTATCAAAAGTCCAAAGTGCTGCTTGACTTGCTAATTAAGGTGCCTTGCAGGGTTGCAGCAGCATTTCATGTGATAAAACTGGAAAAGGAGTGAGAACTGGAAGGAACAGCAGTTTTGCCCTTGAAACACATTATTAGGATTCTTAAAGGTGTGGGGGGGGCGGGGAGGAGTGGGGTGGGAGCATCTCAAACACGCACGTCAAATTTTCTTGTTTGGGGTCATTTGTTTCAATTCAAAAAGAACTTCTGAACCGAGATACGTCTCAAGTGAAAGGCTGATTATTTAAATTGTTAACGGACAAGTTTTACATTGAAGAGAAATAAAGCATACTAAAATCTCTACCTCATTCAGTTTAAGAATGAGGTTACTGTACTTCAGTTAAGAAGTACAAGCTTTCCCCCCTGCCCCCAGTCTTGTCCCAAACAGTGTTTGCTATTCTTTTTAAGTTAATTCAAGCAGGGTAGTAGCATTTGCTAGAATGAAGTGTGATTTCAATAGTACAGAAATTACCATATGTGGAATAGTGGGTAAGGGAGTAGGGTTCCATGTGGTCGATGTGCTTGTTTTTGCTTGCCAGTTTGTTCCACCAGTAAGTTTCTTCTCTGTAGGCTGGGTCCACTGCATATCTGATCTAAAATGAAACCACAGCTCGAGTAACAACAACATAATGGAAAACCAAAACATGCCTTAATACATGTACACAGCTGGAATCTATGGGTGGAAGAAACACTTGGGATTTCAGTAACTACTTATATATATTTCTGTTCCAATAAATATGAAGTCTGGGGGTTCTGTTTTGTGTTAAAAGTAAACTATCATTACTGCACTGTACGGCATAATGATTAACTGGAGTTTTATGTAACTGCAAGATCTTTTATGAGACCTCATAAAAATACTTAAATAAAAATACAGCAATTGCAAAACTAACTAAAGTGAATTACTTCAAAAGTTAAGGTTGACCATTATGGTGACTGACCACAAACTCACTGTTTCAATGCTGTACTTGGTAGCACACTACTTTCAAGAGTTGAGACTCTTGCCATGTTAGTGCTGGTAAACTGTGCCAGAGACTACCAAATAGTCATGTGAGAACTTACTTTTTAGATGGAGTTCCTCCAAAGCCAAGATCTGGGGGGAAAGAGAAACAGACAAAATCCCTAAGTATTTCTAATTTTTTTGGGGGGGAAAAAAAGCTTGTGTTGTTTTCAGTAACAAATGGCAAAGTTAAGTTTAAAAGCTTCACACTTACTTCCCACTAGATTAGCAAGTGAAGAATCAAGGTCATTTGCCAAAATTTTTCCGCTTTGCTGGTTGGCTAAAGTGGCTCTCTGACTTTGTGGTGGTACTGTAGGTTGCAATACATCATCTAGAAAGTTAAAAGCTAAAACAAAGAACACAAAAGCAACTGTTAACAAAACAGTTACATTGCATTTCACAAAAGACATCCATAAGCCAGGGAGGTATTTTCTTTATAGAACACTAAGTAGTTTGAGTGTATGTGGAGGTTCAACATGCTGGAAGTGTTTAAGGCTTAGACAGAAGCATAGTTTAACCTCTTATTTTTTATGGAATACTATATTGTAGCTACTAATCTAGTAGAATCTTTAATTTTACTTCAGCAGTAACTGATGGTATTTTAAAATTAAGACGGAACTCCCCTGAAACTGAAGAAAGAAGGTTGTTAAAGGTAGTTTCAAAGTGTTCTTGTAACACAATATAGCAGTAATTTCATGATACTGCTAGTATCCTGAATGTACACAAGAGTTCCTTCGCTATATGTTCATGAAGACTTTGAATATATAGCAAAATAGCACCAACCAAGAGAAAGATCGTAACTCAGCTATTCTTCAAGCAACACATACACACAAGTAGTTTTGCGTTTTTATAAGTATGACGCCTCTCAATGAAGTTAGAGAGAACTCATTACCATCTATCAAGAGAAAACACTGAAGTCACAAGCACTGAAAACAGATTAACATAAGCTTACCCGTTAAGAGAGATCCAGTGAGCCACGTTCAAAGTTCATGCCCCCAAAAAAAGAGGAAACCGTTATTACACAGTATACTTTGAAATTAGCTTTGACTAATCTCATAAACTACAATTGAACTGATTGCCTGTTATCAGCCCTATAATCATCTTGCAAATGTATTAAGTTATTAAATTTTGAACTGCAATAGCAGTTACGCTAAATTGTTAAGCAACTGTTGCCTGTAGGGTGTAAGTTAGTCATAAGCTAGTTTTTACCACTTGTAGTCCTGTACTCTGGTGCTGTAGATTTTCCTCCAAAAACAGCATCAAAGTCCACATTAATTGTTGAAGAGGTGGTACTTGGAGGAGCTGAATGAAGAGGAAAACCTGAAAAAAAATTTAGAGTAATCAATACACCCATGGAGTAATACCACTCATTACAGTAAAACCAGAAAGTTTACAAAAAAATAATCAAATTACCATCAACAGTCAGAGGATGATACACAGAAGCATATGTAGGTTTATGACCACTAAAGTCATCTTCATAGAAAGAGAGAAGAAAATAAGATCAGTTTAAGAGAGAAAAAGGAAGAGGGGACCTAAAAATTAAGTCTGCAGTTAAAAATTAAGAATTTTTAGTAATAAAAAGGATTTTTTTAATTTAACAAATTTGAAAAGCTCAAGTAACTCCTGCATTCCCCATTACAAAAGAGAAAGGAGGTTGCAGTTTGAAAGAAATCAGCAAAAATTCCAGCAAAACTGCAAGTCTTAGGATGTCTAGGTTGGGCAAGCTGAACAAAATAATGAGTTATTTCAACTGTAGAAATAAAACTTTAAGGAAACATATAATTGACTACATCTGGAATTAATGCACCATTTTCACTTGTTAATAAAAAGCGAAGATTGGTCCAAACCACAAAAAGATTACATGGCCCAGTTTATTAGCATTATTATCTCCAGTTGCAAAGAAATTACATGGGTTTTGTTTGTTTGTTTACCACTAAACAGTTCCACCGTTTGTTTGGAGGAAAAAGTAGAAATGATGAAAGGGGTGGTAGATTTTACAGCTTCTTCAACTGGCTTCATGTCAAAGACGTCCAGATGAGGTGGAGAACCAACACAACCATTTGAGGACGAGAAAGGACCTTTCAGATGCAGAAGTGAAGGAAAGAATACAGAGTACAAATAATGGAAAAGAAAACCAGACTGAAATGACTGCATATGAGAATCTCTAGACAAATTCATACTGTAAATATTCCACCTAGTGCTCAGCCCATTAAAGATACAAATTCTTAGTTTCAGATAAAAATCCTAACAGCTCTCTCTAGAGAAAATAATTCTAGTATTGCCACTGGGTGGGAGGAGGAGAGTGACAGAACATTCATCAGTCAAAAAAGTTAGATACTACATTTTTGGCTTCAAGAATCTACCTTTTAAATAGCACACAAGGGTATCAATTCCACCTATTAAAATACCAACACTTACAGTGGTGTTAACATTGCCTTATTTCAGCATTTAAGACATTCTTTGACATCTACCCTGATTATTCTTTGGAGGGATGGGTGAGGGTACAGAGAATGCTGTGCCCAAGAAACTGGGAACGACAGCTTTATTATAAGAACTTTGAAGTCACCAACACCTTTTAAATGAAAAGTGTATTAATTAATATCACTTAATGGAATGGAAATACTAGTCCAGCATCTTCTCAGTTACATCTGTTTAGTTTGTATTTCCCAGCATTTTTAAACTTTGATTTTTAGTTACATTTCTTCTACCTGTCCCCTTTATTGAATAGCTCCTTCATTCCATCTACTGCACATTGACACTACTGCTATGCGTTACAAAAAAAAAAGTAACTTTTCTGTAACAGTTTGCCAGAGCTTTCAGATGACTTATTTTATATTCTGTCAAGGACAGAGATGTTTAAATGCAAAGTAATTAAGGTTTAAGATGTAGATTCAATTAAGTATGAATCTGTATTTTATTCTTGTATTCTGAGAATACACCCATCATTTAGACAGTCAAATCATCGTATCAGCTCACCTCCCCAAGCACTGCTTGCTGATGTTGATATAGCTGGAGTACTCTGCACAGTTGGAACAAATGCAGGCTGAAGATCAAAAAGATCACTAGAAAGGTTAGGCATGCTGAATAAGAAAAGAAAGAGGGAGAGAAACGTGAAGATACATAATAGGCATTGTATTCTTGTGTTATACAAACACCCATACCACTCTCACTTTCTCTTGTTCACTAGTAACCCATCAATAATAGTGGTACAAAACAAAACTAGTAATTAAGCACTTATTGACCAATACCAAAATTCCTGTGAATACACCAGGAAAACATCAGCAAAAGGTTATTCTTGAAAAGTAACCAGGATCAGTGCTTTGCAATTGATTGTGGAGCTACAGGCCAACGCAGTAATTTCTGCTTGCTTCAGAAAGCAACGTAAGCCTCTCTCACCTATTTGTTGTGGGTGCTGGTACTGCAAAGAGGTCAACAGCTACAGTGGTATTCACACTTTTTCCTGATAAGGTGCTTGGGGATGCTGATGTGGAAGTGGAATTTGATACTACAGAAATCTCTCTTAATCGCTGCTCCTGAAAGATGAGATAGACAGTTTGCATCTTAGTTTTATTAATTTATTAACCCTTCAGTCCTGAAGACCTTTTCCAAGAAGAAATTTTAATTATTGTCTTAATGAGTCATTCTCCTGTAAAGTCCTGAAAACAGAAAGATGATTGAAATTAGAGATAGGAGTATTTGTTTTAAGAAAGCCTTGATAAAAATCAAGGTGGGACTTGAGGTTTTAAATAATTATTTTTTTAAACTATCTGTAACTGCCTAGAAGTAAAACACTTCTAATCAAGCTACACATTCTAAGCTCCCTTCATAGTCACTCAGGGAAACAGGTCAATGGACCTTTCTTCAGGAAGACCCATCTCTCTCTACTATTAGGATCTCTTTATAGTTCAATTCAGATGTTCAGAAATCAGACTAACAATGTGCATCCTAATAATATCCATGTGGTGTTGCTCTTAAACTGGCAAAATAAAAATCTAGTTTACATTGTTAATTTTAGGTTTACATCCCTCGTTACTTCTAGATATGCCCACTGCATTTATATAGCACAGGTGTATGTTTTACACTGCTTACATTCCTCAAGTAAAACACTGAGTGAGCTTGCAAGCTTCCCTGCCCCCAAATGAAAATTTCTATCAACTGATTTAATTATTCAGTTACAGCAGCTACAAGTCCTATTCTAGCAGAAGTGGGACAGTGAAGAGGGGAGACATCTGATGCAACTCCTGAAAACAAAAAAAGAAAAACCCCAACCAAAAAAAACAAACATCACCACCACAACACTTGCTGAGATTCAAGTGAAGCAGTTCGGCAGCAGGCGGCAAGGCACACCAAGATTGTAGCGTAATAGCAAAAAACTTGCTTCACATTGACTTGGTGTAAGGCATATTTCAAATCAGGAAAGTGAAGAATCTTCAATAGACCTCTAACTCCAGAGACGAAACTCAACTCTGCATTACTGTCAAAGTTTACTTTCACACTCCAAATAGTTTTAAGGCTCTTGTAATGTGGCCTCGAGACGACATGAGCAGAGTTGCTTCATCATTTAGGTGTGTCTAGAGATGTTAAAGGAACAGAAGAAAAATTCCCCAACTGCCCCACTTGCGTGTGCCTGGGACGTGACAGAACTACAGGTTTAGCTTTCAGCAAGAGAAGCGTCTGGCCTTGTTCGAGATGTTATACTGTATATGTTCTCAGGAAACAGTGTTATAAACAGGTTAAAAGGACCCAAAGGACCAGGATTCAGGCCTTGAGAGGGATGTTACTAAGAGGACTACTCAACAAGTAGCAATGAGCAAAGGAAAGCACATTAAGGAACCAAGAGAGAACACACTGATTTTCTTTCAAATGTGTTGTTATTCAAAGTCCATAAATTAAACCTAAATACATACGATTTCAAACAGTTTTTCAAACTAAATTATAGAATTATAAGTAAGAGCAGTTAAATGTGGACAGAACTGTAGTGTGTATTCTCATTATGAGCAACATGAGTGAAGAATCACACTAAAGCCACATTCCATACATCATGGGGGAAAAATAATTCCCCTCTTACCAATCAATCTTACAATAGCAATGCTGTATGTTCAGCTGCTGAGATGTAACCTAGAAATGTTGTATACTCATTTGGGGAATCTTTGAGATAAATAACAATCACTTGTAAGGAAGAATATAAATGATTTATATCAGCTGTCTGCTATTCAAATCATACTCCTGGTAGAAGGGTCACCACATATTGGCAGCCATCACACCTGCATCCTACAGAATCATGCCTTGGCCTCTCAAGATGAGAGTTCCCCCACCATACACTATTTTAAGCCAATCCTGGTTTTCACCTGTACCAGTTAAAAAAAGTCTCAGAATACAAATTTTAAGAAATACAGTACCTTAAGTGCCTGCAGTCTAGCTTGTTCCTCCTCCAATGCCTGCTGCTTTTCTTTCTCATCCATCCTGCTAAATGACATTCCTGTATTGGCAAGTGTGGAAACAGCACTGGATAGGGCACTAGCTCTAAAAACAGTAATAATTAAAAAAAGTTTTATTAAAAAAAACCAGCCAGGTATACATCACATAGTTTAATCATCAAGTGCCTTATCTAATTGTGTGCCATTCCCCCTCCACTCCAGTCTTCTCTTCCCTTACTCTCTGGTACAGAAATGCAGACACCCCAATAATGAGGGAGTTCGGTGAAAAAGCAGCATGAGTACAGAGGATTACTCCCTCAAGTTTCAGCGGGTAGGAACTGGAAAATGCAGAACACACCAGCTGTTTTTCTTTAAGGTCACATAGACTAGACTGGAATTCTATTCCATTCAAGTGGCAGAGGCACAAAAAGCTTATTTGTACATGTTATATATATAACAGTAAACAAAGCACAGAAGTTATTCTTTATATAGTATACTTTTTAGCAGAATACTGTAGTAGTGAATCCTCAGATACTTGCAAAAAAAAAACTGAGGAGCAAGACAGCAACTCAGGAATGTACCTTACACTGATACATTTATCAATATTTACCAAGTTTCAGGGGGAGAATGTCTATGCCAAAAGATCTCTCTCACTCTTAAGTCAGAAGTACTGCTCATACGTATCGATACAAAGAGTAACACAATTCCTGCCAGCACAAAGCATCTAAGCTAATTTGGCTGTTCTGAGAAGGGACTGGAGAACTTTTATAAGCAGGTTAAGATAAATTCACAGTCTGAGAAGTAGATAATTGACGAAGATAAATACCATCCTATCTTGGGTAAAAAGAGCCTCAAACCCCAAGTAACTCAGAAGTCTTATAAGCCAAAGGACTTCAAACAATTAAAAACTAAAAACAATAATATACAAGGTCTCAGCTCAGTGGTTTCTTACAGCATAATAAGAAGTCTGTCAGAGACACAGGCAGACATACCTAGATTTCAAATGTGACTAAGCTACCAGACTACTAGTCACTAGATACTTCATTTATACTTCTAGGAAGATATATTTGGAAGTGAATAAAATTCAAGGAGAACACCAAATGACCGAATCCTGAAAATTCTCAGTATGAAGATGACAAATCTTAAGTATAGGCATCGTTGTAATTCATTGGGTGCTCACCTGCTGGCAGCGGAGACTTCTTTTGTTTTCTTTCCCTCCACAGAAGCCAAATGCTGTTCCAGTGCTTCAAGCAAGCTGCTGGGTGCCTAAAGTTAAAGTATTTATAAAACACTGCTTCTAGACAACACATCCTTGTTTAGTACACAGATTAGTTTCCTCATCCACTAACAACAAAACCCCACACATCAATAATCGTGCCTTCGGGTTTTGCTGCCATCCTGCATACCTGAATTCTATCTACCCAGCTGTGGTTCTTTAAAAGGAGTGGCACACAGAGCCATGAAGTAAGGATTCCCCCAGAGCAGGTCTGCTTCTGTGTAGCAAGTCACATTCTTGTTTTTGGCAACAGTATTTGCTATGTTAAGATTAATCCAGTAATCACAGCCGATTAAGCAGTACTCCCTTAAACTCACAGAAGTACCAAAATGAAGCCTTTGCATTTTTGACCCCCTTTCCCCTGTAACAATAAAAAGCCAATCATTTTCCATTCAAATATTTACAGTCAAAGGCTTGCATTAGAAACACTTGACTACAGCAGAATGTTAGGTTTGATAAAAAAAGCAATCAAACTCAACCTAATCCCAACAATACTATTGCAGACGGAGTAGCTATTCAACACATGACTACACAATAAACCAACTCAATTACTCCAAAGCCTTTGGTAGTCTAAAACATTAGAAACTAGCAACATCACCTCAAATAAAGTTGTTGGGTTTTTCTGCGGATTCCATCCCCATCCCTTCTGTCCCCATCCCTCCCCAGAGAAGTGTTACCCATGAGAAGTTTTTAAACATTAAGCTGTTTTTATTTAAAGCAATGAAGAAGATTAAAAAAACCCCAGGTTTCTCGCCACTTAAATCCAGCAGGAAGTCAGACACTAGACACCTTAAAGGAGTTTTAGGTGAGCAATACTCATAAGCTTACCAAAACTTTTGAGACCACAGCCATTCAGTACCCGAGAGAAAGATTTTAACTGATAGGTAACAGAAAAGAACAAGTTTAAAATATACAGACTAAGGCACACCAGAGCTGCTTTGGTTCCTACAGAAAATAAGAAAAAAGTGCCAATCATAACCTGCCTTCTTTCTGCCATATACTTGTATCCACTACAGAAATATTTCTTCCATACCAAAGGAAACAGCTTCAAAGCTCAGAATAAATTTGAACTCACGCTGATTACACAGTCTTAGTAGGAAGTACGATTTCTCCAAATCACCATACAAAAACAACCTCCATCAAGCAAAATAATTAGGCTGGCACTTTTGGAAGAAGTTCACTGCCTTGCTATTCTAGCCACCTTGCTCTCGTGACTTTTAACTACACAGTCCATACTCCATAAAACAAGCGAAATAAATCCTACTGCAGATTCAGATGAAGGAAATAGACCTCTAAAGTTTTAATCCGCTTGCCAGCTCAGTCCTCCTCATCTGGCACGGTTTCAGAGACATTAAGCCTCTCTTACCACTTGCCAACTTTGAGTAGGTAGAACAGACATGATAGGCATTGTTTGGAAGGAAAACAAGCTTGCCCTTGCTAGCCCTTCTGTACCAAAAGCTAGACCGAAGTATTTCCTGGAAAGAGGAAAAATACTAATCACACAAGGCTTTGGCAAGTTCCCCTCTGAAATACTGAGCACAATTCTAGCTTCCCACATTCAGTGAAGGCCAATTCAAGGTACAAGAGATGCAAAGAAAAGCAATTAGAATAATCCTGTAAAACTGCCTGTCTTAAAGTTAAGGCCTTGGTATTTCTTTCTATGAATAGAGCTAGGTAAGCTAAGACAGTGTAGTTACCTCAACAACTGGTCATAAATAAATTCAGCGTTCGAACTTGACAGCTAAACCCCAAGGGGGAACATTTTGAAATACCCTTCTGGAAAGGTATCAGGGACAAAAAAAAAAAAAAAAAAATAAAACCAAAAAACCCATACTTTTACCTTTCAGGAGGAACAATAGTTTGCAAAAGACATTGCATGATACAGCTAGATAGATAATCTTAATAGTAGGAGACTATACCCTAATTCCAGAAAGTTTTTCTAGTCTTCATTGTTTTTTCAAGGCCACTAAAACTTACCTGTATGGAAAAGCATATTCTATACTTACTGTTTCTAAAACCCTCTGAACAACCCCCTCAACCATAAAACCTGAAACCAACAAACCAGTAACTTCTCTGAACTTCCTCACTGCTGCAGACATCCAACAAAACATCAGAGATGAAATTTTGAGTGAACAGATCTTAGTAGTTTTATGCCAGAAAAGATGCCTGGGCTAATACAGATGTTGACTTGAAAAAGGCTGTATTTGATGACTCAGCCTCTTTCCTCTCACCCAAAGACATCTGACAGACTAACATCCATACAGAGGAAAGTGACCCAGTTGCATTCATGCAATACAGTAACAGCTATAAACAGAAAGTAAGCAACATCATTGTGAAATTAGGGCACCTAAAGATGCCTGGGCTAATACAGATGTTGACTTGAAAAAGGCTGTATTTGATGACTCAGCCTCTTTCCTCTCACCCAAAGACATCTGACAGACTAACATCCATACAGAGGAAAGTGACCCAGTTGCATTCATGCAATACAGTAACAGCTATAAACAGAAAGTAAGCAACATCATTGTGAAATAGGGCACCTACAAAGGAAAATATTTTCTTGAAGAGATAAAACCATTGTTGCCAGGAACAGCTTAAGGAAACTCTGAAATATGCATATCCCAGAACAGAATATACACCAGAAATGTAAACAAAGTATTTGGAAAAAAATTAAATATGGTAGATGAGAATAGAGACAGAAGACATGACCCTGTCAGAACTTATTTCAGAAACACAAGCACACTGAAAATTAATTTTTTGTGAAAGTCTAGTATTAAGAAATTTTAGCAAATTCTTTTAATGTGGCACTGAATTAATGTATAATTATTCAACTCTTATCAAATGCCATGAAATCTACTATGGAAGTGGAATGCTTAACAGTGGCACTGAGGTTGCCAAAATACACAGGATGCTGACATCTATCACCACAGTTCAGAGTTGCCTTTCATGTCTAAGTGCACTTAAAACAAAATAGCTGAGCTATTAGAAAAAATGTTGTGAGAACAGTAGATATAAAGGGGTTTGCTCACTGATAGTTTCAGATATAAAGAACAGCAAAACAAAGTTAAATCCCCTATTCTCAGTAAATTAAAAAAAAAAACTGCTTTGAAGAGCCTTATAATGACCCAATTAACTGGACAAGTACACAGAAACCCAGTGAAGTATAACTTCAGACTTGAGCATAATTTGATTAGCATAATACAGACCAGCTGAATACTGCAGTACTAATCAAAAGACAGAGTAAGATGCTAAGATCAAACACCAATAGAAAACATCAAACTACTGTTTTCACTCATTACCTGCTCTTACCCTGCTGGTTACAGTCATATTTCTTTTCCTACCAAAGGCCTAGAAGTTCTTAAAGGGGTTAATATTAATTGCCAGGACTGCAAGTATTAGAGGTTTGTACTTCGAAACATGTATGATTTCAGATGGAGATCATAACGTAGGCAGTAATGAACAACACTGACAATGGAAGTTTGTGGTTTAGATTTGATTTCCATATTAAAAAGACACTAATGAAGTTTAGGCAAATCTTCACAGTAGATATATTTTTTACATGATTAACCCATGAAATTTAATTTTGTGAAGGTAGTGTAGGATTAGATGTCACTGTTCAAAGTTGACACATTAGATTTTAACTGTTTCACACTGACACCACTTAAACAGCTTGAGTACTCTAGACCTCGAAGGCACTCCAGTTTATTGCCCGAGTCTCCTGACAGATTGCCATTTATTCTACCCATCAGGTTACTCTGCGCTACAGAAAGAATACCAATACCTCTGTCCTGTTGGGTTGGTCCTAGGTTAGGAATCCAATGTCCCTGTGAACTGAAGGAACTTGCAAAGAATAACTTTGTGCCCTTCTGTGGACTATCAGTGTTTCCTGTTCACCAGGTCAAACCATCTGTCTCACCTCCTTTCTGCCCCTCAGTTTATCCTCACTTAGAAGGTATTCCCCTGCATTCCACCTTTTAGACTAAGTGTTCCAGCGCACAACCTGTATTGTGCATGTCCCTCATATTACTGAGTAATATCAAAGCCTGCGTTAAGTGCTGGTATAGAAACATCAGATCTATTCAGACCTCAGGGGAAAGAAAAAATTCTTGACTGAACTAGCTAACTGTAATCTTTTAACTGTGTTGGAAGACATTAAATTACAGCGAAACGGAAGGTTTTCCTGAAGGCATGGCAAGATGCTTGTAGCTTATATGTCAGTGAATCTTCTGTGATGAAAACCAGAAGTTCTTGAAAAATATTTTGGAGTTTTATTGCTTTAAACAATCCAAAAATCTTATTACGAGCTGCAAAGTGTGAATACCAAGTACATTTAATCCACGGGAAAAGTCACCATACATATTTCCCATATATAAAGACATAGAAAAGAATACATTCTTGAGATGAATGATTACTACGATACACACCAATCTTTAAAAACACAAAGAACAAAATAATTGGGTTCATCAATACGATATGTACACTGACCTGAGTAAGATCTGGAATGTCACCCTGATCAATTCCAACTTGCTGGGTTTACAAAAAAAGAAGAAAAAAATGTACATTACTACACACAGTGGCAATGAAAATAAAAACCAGTGATGTCTGAATGTTACATAGAAACTAACATATTAAAAAGGGATATTCATAACTTTCTGAAC